CACTCAGGAATTCTGGGAGTTGAAGTCCATAAGTGATAAAAGAGCCAAGTTTCCCTACCCCTGGTTTAAGGTACTTGCTTAGCATTCCATTTGCTTGCTTGCTTGTTTTGTTTGTAACATTGAGGTTGAACTGCTGGTTTGGGATATCATTCTGTACCACAAATCGATTCAATCTCACACCTACTCTCAAGAGAGATAGGAAAACGTAAAGTGTATTATAACGTCATCGTCTATTTTGAAAACTAAAAGAGAACTAAAGTTGATGGACAGATGTATGAAGTTGAAAAGTTGGGTCATAGTTCTGTGGTTCAAGTTTATAAAACCTGAAAGTCAGTTTGGCCTAGTGGTGAACGCTAGAAGCCAGCAGATAGTGAGTTATAGTTCTGCTTTAGGCATGAAAAACCAGCTGGATGAATTTGGGCCAATCGCTCTCTCAGGGCTTCTTTGTTTTTGTGGGTAGAATATGGGGAGGAGGAAGTATTGGGCATGTTCCTTGCCTTAAGTTATTTATAAAATAATAAAGATAAGATTACAAAATCTAAAAAAGTAAAAGTAATACAGATGTAACCTTAATCTGTTTAAGGAAGGCAAATAACATATTGCTGTACTCTAGTATACCATGCTGTGAAGTTCTAACTTTGTTATGCTGTCAATACTGGTTGTAAAGGAAGGTTTATCAAACTGCCTGCTTTCTTACTAGGTTTCAGAATAGCCTAGAGAATGACATTGAAGATAGACAGTGTTTCTGTGACGATCCGGTGATCGCACACAGCACTACTTCTCGCTTAGGTTTCTTTCAGAATGGTTTGATCTGTTATATGAAAATCTATAGTGTTCAGGCTTCCCTTATTTTGAGAAGGAACCTGTCAAGCAAGAGGTTTTTACAGTATAATGAGATGGAAACAGGGGGAGGGGAAGAACGCCTGAAAACATTGTATGTAGCCCTTGAAACCAGGGTTTATGTTCCTGCCTGAACAAGTTTCTGTTTAAGATTGCCAACGCATTGAAATAGGTTGAAATGATTAATCCTAGTGATCGATCAATTATATTTAGGGCCAGTGTGGTATGGTAGTTAATATGTTGGTCTAGAGTGATGCTGATTGCAATGTCAAAATTTGGAGGTAACTGAAGGCAGACATTCTCTCCCATTCAAACTTACCTCAGTGCAGGGAGGATGAATTATTTGACAGCTGGTGAAATAGAAACGTTGCTTACACCCCACACTCCATATATGTAGAAAATTATATTCATATTACATGTATATTTCTATTCATGGGGGGGGAAAAATACCACAGATGGATAGCTTGATGGCATTTGGATGAGTTGTAGACTCTTGCCCTTCTAAATGGTTTGAGGCAGCAGCAGCCTCTTCTTTTTTCCCCCTTCTATTCTGACCCATCTTTTCTTCTTGCCCACTTTCCTTAGTTGTATTAAAACAATTTGTCAGACAGTGATTTGTAAATGTATTCCAGCAAGAACACAAATCAGGATGAGCTTTAGAGAAGCTGCAAGGATGACAAAGCTAAGATGGCATTCAGTGTGGAGCTGAAGTGGAAATTCTGTGTCTCTTTATATTCTATTCAATATTATTAGTTCCACATTTAGAAACCTTTAACATGAGAGCCTCATCAGTTAATTTAGAACTACCATATTTGAACTGCAACAATCTAGGAACAGTAGTAGCTGTCACAAAAAAAATACAAACGACTCTAGTGGCCACCAAATTTTTGTAGTGCCAATGAATTAGAATAGTATTTTGATTCAACCATTATGAATATACCTTTTCTTTTAAAATATTTATTTACTCTCCATTACCAAGTCATAGAATTTAAAATATACAGCACTCTGTTTATCTGAGAATCCCAATAAAGATAAAATTGCATAGAAGGGTCCAAATTATTCCTATAAGCTAAAGCTACAAATAATTGCTGCTGCTTTCAAAACACCTGGGTATTGGTTGTTTAGTAAGAATATCTCAATCTCCTCATCATAAATGGAGTTTATCAAACTAAAGAATGGGTGTATTAACTCTAAATCAGTAGTTTGTGTACAGTGGGCACTTTAAAAGGATTGATACACAAATCATTTCTATGTGCTCATGCCCAGTTACATTTTACAGGAAGAAATAACTTAAGGGGAACAGTTATTACTGTTCATGATGATTAAACATTCCCCTCTACACACACACACTTCTCACTACAACAAACTCTCACCTGTAAACATGAAAAATTCTTTTTTTTTAAACTATGCCAGAACGCCAAATTCCTCAGCTCATTGAACTCTTCATGAAATTTATATGAAAATAATGTAATAAATACCAAAAGTTCTTTTTTTCAAGAGGCACTAGACTGGACTTTTTGGTTTTTCTCTGAAGATGTTTGGGGCAACCATGACCTGGATGACTGAGAGTCTCCATAGGCACTGTAGCGAATAGCACTATAATAATAACAGAGATCATTCAAAGCCTCCTGATAGTTGAAAAGCAGTTAACAGTAGCTAAAAATGATTAGAAAAGGAGGTATGCAAACTTTGTGGCCTTTCAAAGGCATTGACCACAGTTTGAGCAAGATGGCTAGTCTCCCAGAGTTCTAAATTCAACTAAACTAGGCAGTTGCCTTGGGATGAGCAGTTGTCTGAAGTACTTGTGAGTGATCTCAATCTTCTTTCCTTACCTGGAGAGGAATTGCCGAAGAGCTGGCCTCTTCATTCTTCTGTGGTTATTCACTCTGCTTTTCAGAACTCTCTTCAATCCGTGATTTCTTCCTCTGGTATGGATGTGATCTTTTTATCAAGGTTCTTACATGTATATGTGGAAGAACAACAGGTTGAGAAAGGATATTGAGAAATATACTTAGACTTGATTTCAGTATTTTAAAAATCTCTTTCATAAATGCTTGTTGATTAATAAAAAGCAATATCTATCATGTATTTCTCACTCAGAAGCAGCCCTTAGCATCCCCTAGTGGCTTTTCAATTTACTTTAAAATTAACCAAATAGTTTTGGAATAAAAAATTCTTTTCTATGGTAGACTAGAATATGTAAGTTTTGATTTGTAGATATCATTGTTCTAAAATAAAGACATTATCTGCCTACTATATTTATTGGAGTAATCAGTGAACTTTGTACAGTGGACGGATTTTTCTTTTTCCTATTATAAATTATTAAACTATTTAATCATGCCATTTTTGGCAAAAAGTTGAAAAGACATAAACTTGGAAAGGCTTAACAGATCTAAAAATATGAACATCTCCCCCTCCAAATCAGCAGAAATCCCATCCTTTGAGCTCTGTGTATATCTAAGGTTGCCAGAAATATGTCTATCAACTGTGAAAACATTTCCTGTCCTGTGAGAGAATGTATTAAATTTTAATTTCTATACTACTAAAACTCTCACATTTCTTTGTGCATAACTTTTAAGTTGGGAGTTATTGTGCATTGTACTTACACATCAGCCCCTGATGTTTGACTGCACTGTACATTTCAACATGGACTGCGTTCAAGGTAAATACGTCTCTGAATATTTCCATGAATTTTTTTGAAGTACTTTTCAAGTAGATTAAAAGCTCTGCCGTTGTTGAAGGCAGTGGGGAATCTGGGAAGGAAAGATCTCCGAAACAATGACTCAGTGAGTACTGGGTTGTTTAATCTCCAAGAAATGCTTCAAACATTTTATATATTGAATAGTTCTTTACCACTGACCTTGTTAAGAGGAAGATGTGATTCCACAGATCAGAGAGCAGTATGCATCCATTAAAATTTAGGAGGAAAATGTTCTTGAATCAATTTTGAATTGAACTAAGTACAGTACGTTAAATCTTCATGACTGGTTACTGGTTTATTTTAAAAAACTGCTAAAGCAGGTTGAAACTAACAGATAAAGGATACTTATACAATGGATAGTTAATTTGTTAGTAATTAGAGAAGATCCTCTTTCTGCAAGCTTATTTTAAACTTTCGTGCATCTTAAATTATGGTTAACCATTTAATAGAAATATAAGCAGTCCCTTGCCTATAGCAGAATACATTATACCATTTATTTTGTCCCTGTTATATAGGCGGTGCCTGCAACAGTTCTTTATTTTCTAGGTGAAAAGTAAAATATAGATACAGAATAGACTCTTGTTTAGACTTGGACTTCATTCTTCATTCTGAAAAGCTAGCAATGCTTAAAAATATATTTTAGAAGTTGGCATCCTACCCGTAAATAAATAAATTTGTCCCACTTAAAGAAGTACGCCTTCTTGTCAGCTGAGCCTTTCTCTGTCTGACCCGTAACTTCGTAACAATTTTTTTGTTGTACCCTTTTCATGGCCAACGGTTACAGCTTCATATTTTCCTAAAATAGTTTTGCAGAGCCCTAAATACATACATGGTTACTATGATAAGTTTTGATTATAATCATAATAATTCTTTCCAGGTTTTTCACTAGACCCTTCTAAACAGTGTGGTAAAATAATGCAGAATCTCACTTCTCCTTCCAGATAAGCCTCCCTATATCTAATTTAATAGTGGCTGCTAAGGTGATGCTAAATGTGTGCAAATACAGATAGTCCTTGACTTGTGATCACAATTGAGAATGGGATTTTGATCATAAGTCATTACGGTTATTACATGAGGCACCTACATGACTGCTTTACTCAACAACCATAATCCAAGCTCTTCCCATTGCACGCATGTCTCAAGGGTTGGGGGAGTCCTTGACAAGTCCTTTGCCCACTGGCACATGGAAACCTGCCATGGGCTGGGAGGCATCAGCGAACTACACCCACCAATGCTTGGATCCTCTCTCCACCCCACCACACCTGGATCCATTTACCTTTTCATTGCCTCACTCCATCCTGCATGCAAGCCCAATTCTGCAATGGTTCAGAAAGCTCCTTCTCTAAGTCTCTTGCGCGATTTGGAGGGGGTCTTTCAAATCATCATGAGAATGATGATATTTGCTAACGTTTTCTCCTCTGGAGAGGAGAAATGCTAGGGAAACTGACATTCTGAAAGGTTTTGAGTATCAGTGTATCAGTGTTGAGGCTCTCAGAGCCTTTTTAGCATTTTCTCCTCCAGAGAGGTGAAGGAAACTAATGAAAGAGGTGGATCCCAGAGGAGAAAATGCCACAGACTCTGAATCTTGGTGCTCTGCAGCACTGAGGCTCAGACCCTTTTGTGTTTTTGCCTTCAGAATTCGTATCTTTTGTTAGCGTACTTCTGCTTTCTGGAGGAGAAAATACCAAAGGCTCTGAGTCTTAGCTTTCTGGAAGACTGAGAAGCAGAGCCTTTAGTGTTTTTTCTCCAGAGGATGCTAGTGAAAGAGGTGGGCTTCTCTTTTCAACCTTTTCTGTCGGCTTCTCCAGAAGCCAACGGAGAAGATTGCAAATAGCGATCACATGATTGCAAGAACTTGGCAACGGGTCATAACTTTGAACAGGTTGCAAGCACCTAAATTGCATCATGCGACCAGGGGGAGGATGGCCAACATTTTATGATGCCCAGACCTGCTTTTATGAGTCTGTGGGCTCTATTTGAATCTCTCTGGCACCATTGTCCTGCCTTGGAACATCTCCAGATTCTGCTGCCGAAATATAGTAGCAAGGTCATTGGCCAGTTATGTGGTTGCAAAATAAGTATGCTTTTAACCACACAAGGAATTTGTCTCACAGTTTTGCACTTTAACCTTTACAGATAAAAAAAATAAATGATATAGCTATAACACATGATTTTTGAAATCTTGGGATCCTTTTTAAATGAAAATGTATCCCTACTCAGGGAGGAAAATTGTCATGGCTGCTTTAATAAATTTGTTTATTAAATATTTAGTTATATATTATTGTATGTATTATAACCACAGTGCAGCTTCTGAAATAAGGTTTATAGTTGACTTAATATGCTAAAATTAACATCATTTTAAAGTGGCATTTAATTACTAGCAGACACAAAAGCATCTTATCTTTAAACCTTGTGGATATGAAGAAAAGGAGGCTTCTGGCTACATGAAGTCATTCCATTGAGCTTAAATTATTTGAATAACTTCTTTCACTAATGTTAAGGTAATCAGATTTTCCAATCTGTCAATAAATTATGATTTATTTAAAGTGGTGCTTAGAACTTTATGAACCTTTTTGAATTTTCCATAGTTCTGCATAAATGTACCTTAGAATGTGGTCTGGTCTCTAAACAAACTAGATACAAGCAGTCCATGTAATGACCACAAGGGAGACCCAAATTTCCATTGCTAAGCAAGACAGCTGTTAAGGGAGTTTTGCCCCATTTTACAACCTTTCTTGTCACAGTTGTTAAGTGGATCACTACAGTTTTAAGTTAATAGCAAGGTTGTTAAGTGAATCTGGTTTGCCCATTGACTTTGCTTGTCAGAAGGTCACAAAAAGTGATTATAGACCTTGGGACATTGGAACCATCATATATAGGAACCAGTTGCCAAGCATCGGAATTTTGATCACATGATTGTGGGGGTGCTGCAGTGGTTGTAAGTGTGAAAAAGTGGTCATAAGTCACTTCTTTTCAATGCTGTTGTAGCTTTGGTCACTGAACAAAGTAAGTCGAAGGCTACTTATAAAGAAAACCCAATTAAACAAATAAGCAAAAAATGTGTTTATTAATTTATTAAGGAAAGTGATGCAAAGCTTTGTAAACCTCTAAGGTTATCACTTCATTTGAAGGGGAAATTAGAGTCAGGTGTTTCAGCCAGGATTATAATCAGGTATGAGTATGGGAAGTCCTCCCTTATTTAAAGAACAGAGTTCTCAATCTTTAGCTTTTGTTTCATTTGTGCAGAGTACTTCACGTTTTAGATTAGATTGATGCAGAACCATTGAACATTTGAAACTGTAAACTATGAACAAATGTATTCCAATGTCATCATCTTGTGTGCTGGAGAGTAGACTGGAGCTTTTGAGCAATTATTTATTGTGAAATATATGTGGCTGCCCATCTCATATATCGGTGATTCTAGATGCCCAACAGTTAAAACAGGATAAAAACTAAGAAATAATAAAAAATATACATAATGTAAAAAGTAGCAACCAGTATAGATAATCCTTGAGTTATGATCAACCTGAAAAGGGGGACTTATATCCCATATTTGAAGATCCAGTAGTCAGGCCTCCTCTGCAGTTACATGACTGAATTTCAGGTATTGGCAACATGGCCACATTTACACAAAACTTACACCTGTAGCGAATCTTTGTTCGCTTAACAACCGTCACAAAATTGGGTGGGTCACACGATTGACCCATTTTACTACTCTTATGATGCACAACCATAATGGCCAGGCTTCATTATGGTTGTAGAACAAGGACTACCTATATAACCTACAAATGGATGCACCCAAAAGTATTAGAGATCCAGACTTAATGCCTTAAGGCAAGGTATTAATGCCTTGCATAAGCCAATAGGATTGGAACAATTCTGATTTTGAAGAGTTATATTCCAAAGAGTGGGAGCCATGGCAGAAAAGGCCCTCTTCTGGACGCAGTCAGATGGCGCACGCTCTCACAGGTCATGCCTCTCCTGCTGTTGTATATACCAGATGACTAGATACCCTGAGGAGAGATACTCCTATAAGTAACTTGGCGCCAGGCATTGAAGAGTGAGCATTAGCACTTTGAATTGTACCCAGAAGCATAACAGGAACAATGCAGTTCATAAAGCAGAAGCTTGACATATGTTAAATGGCCGGCAACCATAACTGCCCATGCTACCACATTTTGCACCATCAGAAACTTCCAAATATTCTTCAAGGACACCTGCAGGTTTTAGTAGCATGGTTTGCACAGTTCTGAGTTATGAATTAATGTGGTTTTTAATTCTTCTAGCATGGAAGCAATGAACAAATCTGATTTATGTAATTCTTGTGTCTTAATAATGCCCAAAGCAAGCGTTGCACATTATCTGTCACCATCAGTCCTTAAAATATATGTTTCAGGGTGGATCACTACCACTAACTGGTTACTTTTTTAGTGTTAAATATAACGGATAACGTGGAGGCAAGTAAAATAAGAATTGAACCTGGAACTTCTGCTTCACAGCTTTTATTGCACTACAATTTACCACTAGTAAGACACTTGAATAGATAAGCTATCAGAAAAATATGCTTTCTTTATAGGTTTATATGGGCTATAATCCATAACTGGAATGCTTAAAGCCACTAAGTTACTCTAATAGAGGTGTGACTATATATTGTTTTCTGTTATTTTAGGAGCAGCTCCAAAATTCTCTTGAAATTTATTGCAAACCAGTTGATTCTGTGAGCCATTAACTGGACATAGCATACATTCTCAGCTTTTGTTTACTTTGTCTGACTTCGTTTAACTTTAAGCTTAACTCCTTCACTTCAGTGAACAAGAACTATTTTTTTATACTTAGGCCCTAGGCTTCATGTAAAAGAAGCACAAGGCATATTGGTAAAAAATAGTATGGTTAAAATGGAAAAGAAAAAATGAAAAAAAAGTACGTAGTGTTAACAATCATATCTAAGTGTTGTTTAATTGTCATTGTTTATGTGGTTGAATAGACTGGCATGGTGCGTTGTGATACAGCTGTTGGAACACCAGATTATATATCACCTGAAGTATTAAAATCACAAGGTGGTGATGGATACTATGGACGGGAATGTGATTGGTGGTCTGTTGGAGTTTTTCTGTTTGAAATGCTTGTTGGTAAGTAGTGGGTTCCTTCCTTCCTTTCCTTGTGTGTATATGGATTTTTGTCTTGATAATACTTAATATGTTCTAGTGATGTAATTGCTGCAAATATATAACACAGCTTTGCGCTCTCTATGAGTTGTGTGTGCTCACATGCTTTCGCTGCTGCTGATACTGGTCCCTAAGTGACTCTGGTTTTTAGTAATGCTTTTTAGATTCTTATAAAATGAACTTCCCTAAATATCACGGAAAATTGGCACTTCTATCTGGCATGACCACATGCTGAACATTGTAACTTTAATTATTTCTTAGTTAAAGAAAAGCAGTTTTATTTTTTGGACTTTACTGAGTCCACCCAAATCCAAAAGGAAAGAAAACAAAAATAGGCTTCTCACCACTTTTAAAAGCTCTTTCCAATTATATATGAAGTTTTATAAAGACTGGTTTATGCATATAAAAACCTTGTTAAAATAATTGAAAGGAGAAATTAGAGCTTTTTAAGTCAGATATTTGATGCTTTAGATTAAAAATAGAGACAAAAAGGCTGGTTATAAAGTCACATGAAATAATTACTCAGCTTAAAAATTCCAATAAACAACTTCATAGAAATGGCAAATGTTTTGAAAACAAAGATCTTCAGGATGAGATTATCTGACTGCAGAGTTTATATAGCAATTACAGACACACAAACACGCATACACAGGGAGAGAGAAAAACTTTATTTCTCTACTTATTACTAAACGTATTTGCAACCTATGACTGCTTTGATGGAAAATTGTATATCTGAGGTTTTGATCTCTTCAGCCATTGCATAATTTTGAAATTGAAGCTACTTATCAGGATTTCTATTTCACTTGGTTCAAAAACCTAGTCCTAAAATGGAAGTGTCCCCCCCACCCAATATTCTACATGTGTCATGGCAAGTGGGCCCTTTTGAATTAGAAGGAAACCACATACTTTCTCAAGAGGAAGAAAATTACTAGGAGTGGTTGGTCAAAAATTTGGAATTTGATTAACAAGTGCTCAAACTTTATAATGGAGCAAGAAATAAATGTTTCAGAGAGTTGCTTTAAATACTAGTGATGGAGCTGCTTTAATAATTAATTTAAAAATCATTATGGTTCTAGGGATTTTTCAGGTGTAGTATTTATTTATGAAATTTATATGGATGTTTTCGGCATCATTTTATTAGGTCATGTTATTAAATAAACTCTTTTTCAATTAAAATACAGTTCATTACAATCTAATTTTTCTAAACATTTCAAACTTGTATGTTGAATAAGGAAAGAGAAGGACAAACAAAATACAAAAGGAGGAATCCTAAATAGTGGTAAATATTTTTTAATTAGTTTACACGTTTCAGAAAATACTTCTTTTTTAAGGATGTTTCTAGAATATCTATGAACTAATTGATTGACACTACATATCACAACTTTTCAATCCTTTGCAAGAAGAATATACCTTTTTAAAATTTCACATTAGAATTATTCTAAACTAGTTTGTTTTCTAGTATTCTAGTTCTAGATAAATGTATTAATATATATAATATAGGTTTGATAACAAGATCAGACTTTGCCCAAGTAAAATTAACAGTTATTATAGGAAATATTGCCCCCTTTTTATTGATGGTATTTAAATATTTCTTTATTATCTTTACAAAAGAGGCTGTGATTTATAAAAGGTACAACAAAAATTTAAAGTGTTTTTAATAAGTAGACATTCTACATCCTGGATGGCATATTTTGATGCATATTACATTATAGCCAATGCTTTATAGAAAATCAAAAGATTAAAATGGGGGGAACGTTTTTAAATACGTATTTAGAAATGGTATAGAAAGTTAGATTAGAAGGAGGTTAGAGTAGACCACCGAGGTCCCTTTCAACTCTGCTATTCTGTATTAAAGATTTTACTAAGATATATAAAGCACCTATGAGTGATAAACAGGAATTTTATCAAAGCAGAATATTCACTAAACAGATATTGACAATGAGATAAAAGTGTGAATTACTGGTTCAAACCATTGCAGCAATATTTTTCTTATTTAGGATGTCCAGTTTAAGAATATAGTGATTCTGACTCGGTAAATCAGCAATCTATTTAAATTCTTGATTGTATAATATTGATACATTAATAATTTTTATATATCATAGCTCTTGTCAAGATTATACATGACTTAGTTGACCCTTTATCTTACTAAGAAATATTTTATACCATTAAATTGATGTAAATAAGGACTTACTGGCCCAGATGGTTATCTGATTCGTTGGTGTTACATATTGATTATACCAACACCATTCAGATTTTAGAATGGCAGATGCATTATATATGATATTACCTTTAATTATATGTCATTGTTTTTAGAAAAGACTACCAAGTATCTAGTAATAGGAATTGTAATTCCAAAGTATATATTCAGAAAAATTGAAATTAGCAGTGATTTTTTTGGATGTGGAAATGCCTTTGATATGTTAGAAAATTTTGAAACAATTGTTTAATTTAGGAATTTTTATAGATACTCATAGATAAATTGCACAATAAATCTCTCCCCCTAGGCATTTTTGAGATAGAAGATTCATGACAACAAATTGTCCATTCTCAGTAGCAAATTCTCTTCTCTATGATGTAATATGTTTTCTTTAAATATTTGTATAAAAGTTAGTGATACGGTAATTAAATGCATAAGCCAATGTAAGGAATGTTGTATACAGTTAGACTCATTGTTTTGAAGCACCAGGAAATACAATTTATGCATGCTAGAAACAACTGTCATGTGAGTTTCAGCAAATGGTAAATCTTGGTTGGAGTTAAGGCCATACAGTTTTCATGAAGCGAATACTTGCAGTTTCTTCCTCTATCTCCTCTTGAACAATTGAAATAAAGTAGTCAAAAACAATTTCCTCTGTGAAACTAAGCAGGATTGCTTGTTATACCCAGACTCCGGGGTACAACTTGGAACCTAAATGATATATTGCATGAAGAGGAGCAGTTTCTCTTGGTTGAATGGAATGCTTCTTGTCACTTTCTCTTTTTTCCAATGCCTCTACAAGATCTGCTTTTCCAAAGGACATTAAGGGAATTTGAGGTATTTTGGGTGTGGGGTGGGAAACTATCATTTTGATATGTTACCAACAAAAAAATTAATTTCAACTTGCAGTTTTGAACAAACCAGAATTGTAAACCATAATTTGACTCTGGATTTGTTGAAACGGGAGCTGTATAAATTATGAGCTTTCCAGAGATTTTTCTACTTAATTTTTAAAAGAGAAGGGAAAGAAAAACATCACTTATTCTTGCAGAGGTAGAGGCGGAAGAAGATTATAGAGGTCCAGTTCAAATCTAAAGAGGACCAGCAAGCTTATGTTTTGAATCTTTAAGCATTGAATGCTCAATTTACCATCTTAAATGCTATGTCAATCTTTAAGATTCAACCACAACAATAATGTCTGTATATTTTGAACTTTTAGGAGATACTCCGTTTTATGCTGATTCATTGGTAGGAACATACAGTAAAATAATGGATCACAAGAACTCATTGCATTTCCCAGAAGATGTAGAAATTTCAAGGCAGGCAAAGGATATTATCTGTGCTTTTTTAACAGACAGGTTTGTAAACATTTTTTCCTTACTGGGGTGGATTTGTTATTGGAAACTATTCTGTCCAAACAGGCATTTAGGATATCTCACTGATATAATCTGTGAGTATAATTTTGAGACTCCATTTGTAGACAAAACCCAACTTAAATTTGTCATTATTTTAGGCAGTACTTTCAACTTGGCTTAATTTTGAGAAATTCCATGAAATCAAACCCTCATGGTTATCAGGTTTTCCTAGGAATTATATCGAATAGCAATAGCACTTAGACTTATATACCACTTCATAGAGCTTTACAGCCCTCTCTAAGTGGTTTACAGAGTCAGCCTATTGTCCCCAACAATCTGGGTCCTCATTTTACTGACCTCAGAAGGATGGAAGCATGAGTCAATCTTGAGCCTGGTAAGAATCGAACTGCCGGCAGAATTAGCCTGCAATGCTGCATTCTAACAACTGTGCCACCACAGTTCATAATAGCAATAAGATTTACCAGCTTATAAATATCTCGCTGAATTTGGAGAGAGTGAAAAAGAACTCCCACCAGCCATAAAGTTTCACCGGAGTAATGTACATCTTATTTGTTTGTGCTAGAGGCTGTCTCCTATTTGTCCTGCCACCCAGTTTGCATTTATGAGTATCAGGGAAAATGCAAACACAAGTTTAAATATTGCTAATGTAAGCAAAATTGATTTCCTTCAACTTCTGTCCTAACTATTATTAACATTCAAGATCAGTTAAATGATCTTGATTTTCTTGATTCTCTTGGTGGCTATATGAACCGATGGAAATGACACTGTGTGCACAATTATTAGGCAAGTGACCATTTTGACCATATCATTTGTATGAATATTTTCCACCTCCAAACTGTATTAACTTAAGTGCTTAGTGGATATAAGCATATCGGGTGAGGTTAATTTGTGTCATGAGGGAGGGTGTGGCCTAAGGAGATCAACACCCTATACCAAGATGTACATAATCATTAGGCAGTTTCTTTCCCTCAGGCAAAATGAGCCAAAAAAGAGATTTAACTCACTCTGAAAAATCAAAAATTGTAAAAAAAAGTCTTTCAGAGGGATGCAGCACTCTTGAAATTACTAAAATATTGGGGTATTTTGTTGCACATAGTCAATAGGGTTGCAAGAAATGTGTTGAGAAAAAAAGACACACACTAACAACCAAGGATTTAAGAAGAATCAAACGTGAAGCCACCAGGAACCCATTATCCTCCAGTACTGTCGTATTCCAGAACTGCAACCTACCTGGAGTGCCCAGAAATACAAAGACATGGCCAAGAGACATGGCCAAGGTAAGAAAGGATGAAACCTAACCACCACTGAACAAGACACAGAAGTTGATACAGCAAGACTGGGCCAAGAAATATCTGAAGACAGATTTTTCAAAAACTGATAACATGAGATTGACTCTTGATGGACCAGATGGGTGGGCCCTTTTCTGGATCAGTAACAGGCACAGAGCTCCACTTCGACTCAGAAGCCAGCAAGATGAGGTGTGGTACTGGTATGGGCTGGTATTATTAAATATGAGCTAGTTGGACCTTTTTGGGTTGAAGATGGACTCAAAATCAACTCCCAAACCTACTGCCGGTTTTTAGAAGACACTTTCTTCAAGCAGTGGTACAGGAAAAAGTCTGCATCTTTCATGAAGACCATGATTTTTATGCAGGACAATGGTCCATCGCATGCATCAAAGTACCCCACTACGTAGCCAGCTAGTAAAGACAAAGATGAAAGAATAATGACATGGCCCCTTTCCTCACCTGACCTAAACCCTAGTGAGAAGTTGTGGGCCATTCTTAAACAGGAGATTTACAGTGAAGGAAAACAGCACACCTCTCTGAACAGGAACGCTCTGGTTGTTGCTGCACAAAAAGCTGATTGTCAACAGATCAAGAAACTGACAGACTCCATGAATTTATGAGTGTTATTAAAAAGAAGGGTGTCTAAATTGGTCACTGATTTTTTGCTTTCAAATGTCAGAAATATTTATTTGTACATTTTGAGTTGTTTGTTTATTATTCTCACTTTAACAGATACAAATAAATGAGTGAGATGGGCAAATTTTCATTTTTCATTTAGTTGCATAATAATTCTGCACACTCATGGGTGCCCAATAATTGTGCACACATGGATATTCTCCTAAGAAAGCCAACACCTCGCTTTTACTTTTTTAAATATTCAGGTTTGAGGTTTATTAACATTTTGGATTGACTAAGAGCACTGTAGTTGTTCAATAATAAAATTATTCCTCCAAAATACAACTTGCCTAATAATTGTGCACAAAGTGTACACATATTGCTTTAGGCCAATTATTGTGCTTAAACCTGCAATTTAAGACCTTCATTTTGTATAACTTTCTGTCCCATGTGAGGGTAAGGAGTAAAGAAATACATGAAGAAATAAAATACTTTAAAGTTTTAAAGAGGACAACTCTGAGTTTATATTCCTTTCTACTATGATGTAGGCCTGTTTGTGTATGTTTATATATTTGTGTGTATGTGTATATATGTATGTCACCAAGGTAATAATTATTAGTTATATGACAAATTTCGATACACAAGTATTTCCTGAGGTGAACTTAGGAACACAAAAATGTTATGTTAAAAATAGATGAGTTTGCCGCTTACATAATGGGTTCATTATACATTGTTGGGGAAAATATGAATATGGGTATGGGTGAGTTTAAAGGATGTGATCTTTGAATACTTATTTCAGTAAAGTTTGAATAACTTTCTGTGTTAGGAAGCCAGGTCTTCTGTCATTTATGTTGAAATATTTGCACTGTGGTTTGGCAAACTTGTAGGGTGGTTTTTTTTTTTAAAAAAAAGAACTTTTTTCCAGCATTCCTTTTCTACTGAGTGCAGTCGGAATCATGTCTTACTCCACACGTGGCAGAACGAGAATTCCAGTTATTTCAACCAGTATATGTGAGAGCATTGAGAAACTTAGTAGCAAATACACGGGGAGGATTCAGGTTGCAATATTAATGTTAATGAACAGTTAAAAATTATAGTTTATCTTACACATTTAGGCAACCCTGGCATTGAAATAAAAACTGAGAATAGATTTCCTCAGAACAGAAAATTGTAAATCTTATAATAAAATTTGACTTTAATTGCCATGTTTAGGGATGTGCGGCTAGGGAGAAATGGAGTTGAAGAAATTAAATCTCATCTATTCTTTAAGAATGATCAATGGGACTGGAATAACATTCGAGACAGTAAGTATCTTTTAAAAAAAATTTAAATGCATTTTTCTTTTTTGTGCATGAGTGTGTCTAAGCTAGTTTAATGTGGATTTAAAATGTAAGCTATTTACTGTGTAAAAACTTGGTTTTTTTTAAGGTTACACTTTCCTGCAAATGTGAAAGCTTTACGATTACTTACATTTTATTACAACTAAATGCCAAAGTAAAGTTTCTAGATTGGAAGTTGGTGAAATGCTCCTAAAATCAACGTCAGTGTTTCGTTGTTTTTTTGCATATTTCTTACAGTAAATATTTCATTTAGTGCAAATCTCATTTCTAACAGTCTTATGCACTTGAAAGGGCAGGCTTTTCCATTACATTCGGGGGCCTTGCCTTTACAAGGTAGGAAAAGATCCATAAACACTGTCATGTTTTCTATGCTTACAGAAGAATTGGATTGGGGAAGAGATTAGTGATGGGGTGGGTGATTATAAAATGCTTAGCTGATTATAAAGTGCTTAAAGGTGGAGACCCTGGAATGTACTAACTCAAATAAAAAAACTAGGTGATTTCAAATGTTTTTGTAAACCATCTTAATATCCATGTGATTCAGGGCGAGAGAGAATCTACAATGCAGACATTTAGTTCTTTATGAAGTTTTTCATTTTCATAGTCTATTGTGTTGGGTCTCATTCTTAAAGCAATGAATGTCTATGGAGATTCTCAATCATCCATGTCATGGTTGAGCTAAAGTTGCTTTTCCTAAAGATAACTTTCTTGAAAAGAAATCCAGTTGCCTTTTGGAAAAGCACCTTTGGGACAAAAAGCCACTAGAAAAGCACCTTTGGGATAAAAGTAAAGAAAGTCCAGCTGCATTTTGGAAAAACACCTTGGGGACTTTCAACTTGAAAGCTTTTTGAAAGGGGCAGATTATGGGAGCCGAAATGAAACTTAAATTTCTTACGTATTTTATCTTAGACACAATTCTGCCGTGTCAGCTTTGTTTAGTCAAACATATATTCTTAATACCTAACATTGATTAATTTGTTTAATAGGGGGAAATTTTGTCCCAGATTGGGAATAAGCAACCTTGCTGTTTGAATGTTCTGAAGCAAGATAGTGTTAATTACACATTGAATTAAAATAATTCTCTTATTTTGAAACTATAGAATACATTGAGAGGCATTGTGGCCTACCACAATGGATTAAACATCATGGATGCTTTGAGAGAATAGGAGACAATTACTATTTAGATGAAGTTCCTTATAGAGTAACAACTGAGATCCTGGTGCTGATATGTGATACAAAATTAAACCTTAATAACAAAAGAAAAATGTTGTTTTAATATAAGAACATTGAATGTTGTTCTAATACAGGTATCTACTCTTTTTTTTTCAGCTGCTGCACCTGTTGTACCCGAACTGAGTAGTGATATAGATAGCAGTAATTTTGATGATATTGAAGATGACAAAGGAGAGGGTGAAACCTTTCCAGTCCCAAAAGCATTTGTTGGAAACCAACTGTCTTTCATTGGATTTACTTACTTTCGAGAGAACCTGTATGTAGCATACGTGTAAAAATATGCATACCAATTAACTTGGCTTTTCAGCAGTGATTTTACTTGTGTATGTGTGTTATGCATGCACGTATGTATGTATGTATGTGTGTGTGTGTGTGTGTGTGCCATTGGATTATGTTTTTGTAGTTGCCAAAATGTTTATTACTGCATTTTCAGGTGAAGGACAGGGAAAAATAAAATACACACACAATAGAGGCATTGCTCTTATAGTCAGTTATGCTGAACTGCATTTCGTATACGAATATATCTGCTTACATAGACTTTTTTTTTGAAGCTTTCTATTTAAAATGGATTTAAGAATCTCTTAGGATCCTCCCCCATTAACCAAAAAGCTCCAGGGTCTGTTAATAAGAGCTATTGCTAAATAAATGCCTTCATTCTAAGCACAGTCTAGTGGGATTAGGACTAGAGAGAATTGATTAAAATGAGTTGATTGGCACAGTGGCCAGAGTTTTTGAAAACTTCTGTTTTGAACAGGTTGCTAAGTGACTTTCCTGAGCTCAGTAAGAAAGTTGAACCCTGTCAGAACAATGGGACAAAGAAAAATGAACTTAGGAAAAATGAGGTAAGTACTCATATTTTATTGTGCTAAACATTCATATGTATGGAAACTGTGTGCATTGGTAGTTAATTAATTGCACAAATCTAGAACTGCTTGTGAATTATCCACTTCTATAAAAAGGGGTTCTGGTCATTATATGATTTAAGCTTTAGATAAGTAGATTTTTAAGGATAATATAAATCAAGCAATATAGATTATTGGGGGAAAATGGAAAAGTATCCTGTTTTTAAGCATGTATCTGATTTTTATTTTTTACAGGATGGTGAAGAGGTAAGCACATTCTGAAGATTTTTTATCAATATGTATTGCTATATGATACACACACATACAATTTTCTCTTTCTCTCTTTCCATGAAATATCAAAATACCATTTTATAACATCGGATTTGTGTCTGTGTGCATTTTTTAAAAGCAAATTTGGGTTGGTTTTAATTTAGGAAATATGGAAGAGGCTTCACATTTATTATTGTAAACTTTGCTGTTAAAAATAAATTTAAAATACACAGTGTAACACCACAGTGAAATTTAAAAACAATGATGTGACAAATCTGTAAGATTTTGACTGAAGTATTAATTCATATTCATTATCATGTGCTTCAGCAAGTTCAGTATATTTTGTATATATTATCATAAAAATAATTTACTTTCACTTTGGTAAATAACTAGCAATGAAATGATCAGTATGAATCAGGAATTCCCAGATTTTTAACACCACAAGCCCTTTTTATATTTTGGAGACATCTTGCCTCTAGGTGAATAATGTTATATCTGTCCTTCATTTTGCCTATGTAAATGCACATATTGATCTCTAACTCCATCTTTCCATCACCTTGTCCAGCACTGATGTTTATGTTACTCACCCACCGACTTTATGCATTTCCATCACCTCATCAACTTGTCCCTGGATTATTAGACCTTCATTTGAAAATTACTGCATTGCTTTCTACAATGATACCTTTTATAAAAATTCCACATATTCACTAACAACACCACTCCCAAATTCTTCATACCATCCCAGTTTAGGAACTTCTGGTGTATGCTATATAAATAAGGGTATTTTTGCATGCTAACTTTCTAAATTCTTTCACTTACAAATGCCTAAAAATCAGGGGATTTTTTTCTGTCAGCTTATACAATTTCAGGAAAAAATAAACAAATTAGAAGATCAGCTCCGTAATGAAATACAAACCAAAGATGACCTCGAGCAAAAATACAGGTATAACTTTATTTTCTTTATAAAAATTAGAAACTCTTAAAATACAATTTTAGTTTCTTAAAATATATAGATATAGACTAAACACATTCCTTAAAATACATGTAATATAAATGAAGACTCTTTCTTATATTAAAAGCTGTAATATCAAAAAGCAGTTATATTTGTTACACCTTATATACAGTGGTGTTTAAAAGTTTGTGAATACTTTTGAATTTTTAATATCTCTGCACACATGTGTTTGTTTGCCTATCCAAATTTACGTGGCTGCCCATCTTAACAAGGGACTCTGTGACAAAGAGAATTAAAATAGAATAAAAACAATAACAAACAATATAAAATTGAAAATAGAGGCAGTTGAAAAACAACCATTCACTAACACAATCAAGAAGTAGGTTCCTGTGCACAGTTGGGGGCCTGTCTAAGGCATGAAGGGTTTAAAGGGGATAACCAGCACCTTAAATTGCACCCAGAAGCACACAGGCAACCAATGGTGATCATGGAGTAGTGGTATTACATGTGCCAAGTAACTGGAGTCCATGCTGCTGTCAACTCATAAAACATTTTTATGGTTGTTTACAGTTACCAACGGAAAGGAGTTTGAAAGAGCAGTACGGCAGCTGGTTTAATTTAATTGGTGTAATTGCCAGAATCCTGAGAGCTGCTGCATTCTGCCTCAGTGAAATCTTCTGACTGCTCTTCAACCTTGCTTGAACATAGAATATAGAATAAGGCTAAGTCAAAGCTTGTAACACCACATCCAGGTCCCCACAGCCTCTAGAAATTGGGGCAGGGTATCCATGACATCACTCAAGTAGCCAGGAGGATAAATATAAAGCTGAGTATCATAAGCATTTTAGTGATAACATCCCCCCAAAACATTGGATGACGTCACCCAGTAGCCTCATGTAGATGTTAGGCGGGGAGAAAATACTCAGCCCTATTGCACTCCACAAAGTGGGGCTATGGGCTGGATTCTCTCATCCATCAATACTGATTGGAACCAATCCTGGAGGAAAGAGGAGAACTAGGTAATACTTTGCTGCCGATCTTTAATTCTAAATCTGGTCTCATCAGATACCATGATAAATGGAATAGAAAGCCACTGAGAAGACAAAAAGAGCAACCTGACATAAAAATCCAAACTAAAATGCGATCTGTTTTCCATACAAGTTCTAAAACTAGATGACGAGAACAATTGAGTTAACAACATTATATTGTTTATGTATTCTTTGATGAAAATGAACCAAAGAAACATATTCGTGCGTGGCAAATATATATTTTGCTTTCAGTAACTGGTGTGCCTCCCTTGGGCAGAAATAACGACAACTAAATGTTTCTGATAGCTGTTGATTGTTCATGTGCATTGGCTTGGAGAAAAATTAACCTATTCCTTCTTATACAACAGCTTTAACTCAGGGATGTTGGTGAACTTTAGTATATGAACTGCTCACTTCAAGTCCTTCCGCACCATTTCTGAAGGATTAAGGGGAGGGTTTTGATTTGGCCTTTCCAAAACATTAACTTTCTTCTGATTTAGCTTTCTCATAGATTCAGTTCATAGACAGGTATCATGACATTTTCTTGTAGAATTTGCAGGTATAAGTCAAAATTCATCTTCTTGTCAATAATAGCAAGTTGGCCTGGTATAGAGGCTGCAAAGCAGGCCAAAGTCACGATGCTACCAGGTTTCACAGATGACGCAAAGTTTTTTGCACTAGGATGCAGGGTTTGCTTTTTGCTAAATATGATGTTTTCATTCAAGAAAAAAAAGTTATGTTTTACATTTCTCCCTTTACTTTCTTGCAGTAACTTTTTGGCTTTATCCATGTGGTCTTTCACAAACTACAGAGGGGGTAGCAAGATTCTTTTTGGAGAGTATTGGCTTTTTCTTTGCCACTCTGCCATGCAAACCTTGTTATTTAGTATTCTGGAGATGGTCTTACAATGACATTTGCCAGTGAAAAAGAGGCCTTTAGTTCCTTAGATTTACCCTGGGGTTCTTTGAGGCCATCTGGAGTATTCCATGCCTTGATCTTGGTGTGAAATTGGTTGGCTGACCACTACTTCAGAGGGTAATAATGGTGTTTAATTGCCTCTATTTGTATATAGTCTATCTGACAGTGGACTGGTGGAGTCCTAAGTCTTTACAAATAATTTTGTCACTGTTTCTGGCCTGGTGAATATCAAAACTGCTTTTCAGAAGCCCTCAGAAATCTCTTTTGTTCTAGTCATAAAACCCTTTTACATCCCTGAATTGTAAAGATCAGGCTGGATAGTGAATGCCTAGAATTCTGTTCTTTAAATAAGGCAGGACAGCCTACACTCACACCTGATTATCGATTGAAACACCTGGCTCCTAAATTTCTCCCTCAAATAAACTCTTAATCCTAGAAGTTCACATATTTTCCCCACACATAAATATGCTGTTTTGCATCCTTTTCCTCACTAAATAAAAGAACAAGCATAATGTTTTAGATTCATTTGTTTAATTTGAGTTCTCTTTATCTAGTTTTAGGACTTTTGTGGAGAACATATCACACTTTAGGTCACATTTATGTAGAAATGCTAAAAATCAAAAAGTGTTCATAAGTTTTAAGCGCTAGTTTGTATTGGTATGTGGTGATTTTTTTGAGTTGGAGGGTAGAAAGTTTCACACAGGGCAAAGCTGGGCAATGTCCTGCTTGCTGGGAGACAGGATATAAAATGGGGTGGGGGAGATGTTAAGGGGTTACAATGAGTAAGGATATGACATTTGCTTGGATCTTCGGCTTTATTTTCCAGGGTTGGGGGTAGGATTTTTTGTGAAGAGCTTCACTCTGTAAAGCCTATTTTTGCACGTACACAAAATGATAGGAAAATATACTGAAGTGATCAAAGAGGGTTCTGAGGCCTGAAGATTTTCAGGCTGTGGTGACACATTGCTTAAGAGCTGTGGTGGTGCAGTGGTTAGAATGCAGTACTGCAGGCTACTTCTGACTGCCGGCTGACTGCAATTTGGCAATTCAAATCTCACTGGCTCAAGGTGACTCAGCCATACATCCTTCTGAGGTTGGTAAGATGAGGACCCATATTGTTGGGGGGCAGTAGGCTGACTCTAAAGCACTTGTGAAGTGATACATAAATCTAAGTGCTATTACTATTGCTATTGCAGAAAATGTCTAAAAATTGGACATAATCCTGTATTAAATAAGGTTGAACAGGGGTTTGTTCAATTAGCAGATCCTACTATATCTAGCCTAAATCTCCAAAATTTAACAAACAAGATAGAAGTATTCAGTATGGATGTAATTTATATGAGTTGGTTCCTGGACTGATAGAGATTCAAGAGATAATTATTTAAAGAGCCACCTGCAAACTAGCCAATTATTGTTGAAGAGACATATTTCCTTGATGGTTTTATGGAAGGGCTATTAGAATTAGCTAGAATCATTGGTTAGAATCATACAATATGGGTATATATTGGTTATAATTATAAAATATTGTAGTTCACTTTTCAGTTCTTGTAAGAATTGTTGGAAATCTGATTTCATTCTATCCTTCTCAATAAACCTTGCTAAAAAGAATTGTGTAGGAATCATATTTGGTTGACCACTTATAAATGGTTTAATTTTTGCTCTACAAAAGATTTTATCTTAAAGAATATCTTTTTTCCACCTATAATTCTGTGCCTCTCTCACACTTACATTAATTATTCTTCAGAGCTATCAACAGTCGCCTAGAGAAAATAATGAAGGAATTGGATGAGGAGGTAAATGAATAATTTACTTTGTATTTTGAATATACATTAAATACCTTGTTTTGAATTTTTGAATTTTATCTTTTTAATTTGAGACAATGAGTGTATTCTGAAAAAAAGTTAATGAATTTGTGGACAAGAGATGCCTAATAGATTATGAAAATAAAATAAACTATTTTGCATATAGCCAACATTTGAACTTACATGAAAATTTTGAGAGGGATGTTTACTTAGTTTCAAAATTAGTGCAGGATCTCTTTTGAGGGGAAAAATCAGTTCAATTCTTTTGTGGCACTTAAATGCATCTTCTTGGCTATAAATTCTTACTTAGAAACCCCTAAAGTCACACAATTTATTGACTGTTACACTATCTTTATTTGGACTTTAATAAAGTGTAGACATAGTACTGTTTTGTGAATGTATACCAGATTATTTTTAATTCTTTTCTTTCAAAAAAATAAAAAGGTTTAAAAGCATAAATAACAATCAGGTGAGGCAATAAGCTACCTGATCCCACAGGAAATGTATCTGGGAAGGGAAGGGCAATCTCCTCTGGAACTTAGGCGGATCGAATTCAGCCCTGATTATCTATGTGTTTTATTTACATTTCTACTTTGGCATGTTTTCTTTACATTTGAGGCAGTGCCACTGCATCAGTGAAAAAGCATACAATAGATGTTTCTCAGTCCCAGCTATTAAAAAAAAAAGGTTATTTATTTTAAAGGCACAAAAGATGTATGTTACTTATCTGTTGTTTCTTTTGGTAGGAAGTCAAGCAAAAGCCAATATTTTGTGTGATATTTAGCTTCTGGACACTTGCTTACGAATGAGAACTAGGCAAAGGTCCTCTTTGCAATGTATCATGGGGCAGTTCAATCTCTCAGCTGCATGGCAATATTTACCTGGCCTGAGCTGGGCTCAAAAGCTAAGCAGGGTTGACCCTAGCTAGTGCTTGGATGGGATTCTCCATGGCAAGGGAGTCAAAAAACATAGCAAAATAAGGCAGTGGCAGATCTTTTCTGCATTCTTGCCATTCTTGTTTCATGGACCTGCCTATGAGGCCTCCAGCAGGCAAGGTCAGTTTAAAGGAGGTATTTTTTATCCTGCCAAATAGCTCTTTTGGTATTAGTGATGTAGTCAATCCTGTAAATCAGGTACACTAAATTGATTATTCTCTGTCTTTTATAGCTTGGGCACCTATCTATCATTGTGTCAATTAACCTAGGTCCTACTAGAGTAGGATTTTTTGTTACTAGTGCTAGAGACAGCTTGTGCAAGTAAACCTCCATCATCTGCAGTTTTTTAAAATACAGTACAAGGTCCCTATAACATGCTCTAATATGTTGTGGATTGCTTGGTTTTGGCTCAGTATGTTTCCTGAGTCTGGCCTTCGTAGTCTCTATATTGTGGATTATATTTTCATATACTGTGCAAACCAGACAAATGTGAGAAAGTTGCGGTCTTTCCTGATAACCTTTTCTAGAAATCAGTCCTCTGCTTCCTCTAACAATGAGGCTGATCCATTATATTAACAGAGAGAATTGTTAAGGGAACTGACCATTACTTAGCAATTACTCGTTGAGCAACTATTCAAATTTATGACAGCACTGGACAAGTGGGACTTATAACCAGTCCTTGTATTTACAATGGCCCAATGCTCCCACTCACGCGATCACTATTTACGATTTTCATTACTGGCTTCCAACAAGTCAGTGGAGAAACTGGCTGGAGGTTGCAAATGGTGACCATGTAATGTGCTTAACAACATTGCAGGATTCACTTAATGACAGCAACCAAAAGTGCTGGAACTGCTGTTGCTAAGCCATGCTGTTACATGACCATGTCACTTAGTGACAGAAATTCCGACCATGTCACTTAATGACAGAAATTCTGATTCCAATTACGGTTGTTCAGTGAGGACTCCCTCTATTGCTTGTGTAGATAGAAATCCATTTTACTTACTTTTATGCTTTCAAACCCTAATGCTCTGACACATGGAACTGTCTGACTGCTCCGCAGTTTGGAAGCAATTTGGCAAGATCCCATCTGCTGAGCACTCTATTGTACATTTGCTGCAGTCAAATGAGAAATGTTTTTGATTTTTGCATTAAGAACATTTATTGGTCTCCTCTTACTGTAATTTTAGAAAAATGTTCCCCCTCATATGTTTCTCTTCCTCCATGATTTTCCTAGACATCTTCAAGGAAACATCTAGAATCTTCTTTCAGACAGCTGGAAAGGGAAAAGGCTCTTCTACAGCATAAGAATGCAGAGTACCAGCGGAAGGCAGAACACGAAGCAGATAGAAAACGCAATCTAGAAAACGATGGTATGTTCACCAGGAACAATAAAGAAAAGCTACATTATTTGTGGCATCAGAGGGAAGAGCATCGATGAATCCCATTTTGCCTTTGCTGCTTGGAATAACTTGTGACATACTGTTACAAAACCCGTATGTTCAAATTAGTGCTTTTTTTCTTTCTTTCAGTGAACAGTTTAAAGGATCAACTTGAGGATATGAAAAAGAGGAATCAAAACTCCCAAATATCAAATGAAAAAATTACTCAGCTACAAAGACAGGCAAGTTACCATTCTGATTTCAGTTAAGACTCCTAATGATACTGAAGACTTTTAATTTCTGAATAACTCCATAATTAAAAACTATGTTATGCTTTACTACAATAAATGGATGGTAGTGTCTGTTAAAGAAAGCGTACTTTTTTTAGTTTGTATGTAATGCTGTGGTGTATTTTTGTGTCTCGAATAGCTGGATGAAGCCAATGCCTTGCTGCGCACGGAGTCTGATACATCAGCCAGGTTGAGAAAGAACCAAACAGAAAGTACAAAGCAAATTCAGCAGCTAGAAGCTAACAACAGAGACCTGCAGGATAAAAACTGTGCCTTAGAGAATACAAAGCTCCGACTGGAGAAGGAATTTCTGAATCTGCAGTCAGCTCTAGAATCTGAAAGAAGAGATCGGACTCATGGGTCAGAAATCATCCACGATCTACAGGGTATGAAAACCAGTCTCTTAGAAAGTGATTTTCACATCATAGGGACAGTTTACTGTGATTATCCATTTCAATGTGTAATTTAAATATGTAATTTGTCAACATGTCAACATTCACAGGAATCAGCTGATCATTCTCATTTTCCTTCTGCCTTCGGAACGTATCATCAGTGATTTGCTTTTGTGATCAAAGCGTGTCAAGGGTTACACGTTAATTGATATGTAGATAATGCTCTTTGCTGAAATCTTTTAAATATTCCTAGGTCGAGTGCTTAATTTGGAAGAAGAAGTCAAAAATGGGAAGAATACATTAGCTAAAGTGGAGGCAGAGAAAAGACAATTACAGGACAAATTGACGGATCTGGAAAAGGTAAACTTAAAAAAAAGGAATTCTATTGTTCAGTTGAGCTAATAAAACAAGGTTCTATTCATAGCATTTCAAATAGAATTCTGCAGCACTCCAGATTTGAAGGGGAAAACGTGATTCAGAGTCAGCAGCTCCTCTAATCAAACTATACCAGTCTAAAAAAGATGCAACTTCTGTAAAGAGTTATTGACAGATGCTGCACGAATGCCCAGTTTTTGAGTCCTAACCACACAGAGTGAACTGAGCGGTAGTTTTCAATGAATATTGGGTTCATAACATCTTTGCTTTGGACTTGGAACAAAATAAAAGCCAAAATGAAATGCAGTGCAAGGAGTGCAGAAAGGAGCAGAATTCGCCAGAAATCTCAAAGCAACAGTTTTCTGTCTTGGCATTTTAAAATAAAGTTCGAGAACAGCAACAGGCTTGAAGCATAAGTCCAAGCACATAATGCATTTGGGTCCCAAGACTAGACATTAACCAACCCTAGATAGTCTGAGCATTTACGAAATCTCAATAGCAATAACATTGTGTGCTTGTAAAATATACTAAAGCGTGCACACATATTTGCATTTTTCAACTGCAAAGTAAGATTAGCACAATACACATGCCAATATGAACTCTTAACTGCAATCTACCACAGAATCTCTCTATTTTTTCGTAACAATTAAAAAAAACAGCAACTTAAGAAGCAGAATGGTATACATATAGCTGTAAACGGTCATGTTGTATTTGGCCACGTGGTTACCTTCCCTGTCAACATTTTATTTTCACATCAGCATGTCCTTATTTGCTAGAAAAACTTAAGAAACTTGAAATATCCCATTTTTATACTGTGGTTTAAATAAAATCTTCAGACTTTTGACAGTTATTGCGAGGGCAAAACATTTAGCACATCCATGTTAATGAACTATATCTTGATTGTAAATTTTAAAGAGAAGCTAGGTGGGATTTATTGGAACTAGACTAAGCAGAGATGTGTGGGTGGGGGGAGTATGCAGGGCTTACACAACTTCCATTTAACCAGTTTGTGCAACTAGAAAATACCAGCACCAGACAGAATGGCATCCTCATCCTGATTCTTCTATCATCTCATATTAGGCTCTTCATCATAGTTTTTTAATATCAGCTTCCTTGCATAATAATTGAAGTAGCAGACTGAATACTTAGGTCAACGCCTACATTTTTTCTGTCTACAACCAGTAGGGTTCATATTAATTGTGAGATGTTTTGATTTATGCCTAACAGGAGAAGAGCAACATGGAAATAGATATGACTTACAAACTTAAAGTCATACAACAAAACTTGGAGCAGGAAGAGGTTGAACATAAAGCAACAAAAGCCCGACTAGCAGACAAAAACAAAATATATAAATCGATTGAAGAAGCTAAGTCTGAAGCTATGAAAGGTATGCATTTAACCTCATGTGTTCATAATTTCGTTTAGCATATTTATATTCAGCCTCCTATTCAAAAACATGAATGTGATTCCACAGAAAAAAATGATTCTTTGATTAAGGTTATACAGTCAGTTCAGGAACAGAAGGAAGAGTGACAAAGACCTACATGAATAAATCAATATATTTCATTATTATAACCCAGAAACTAATCTTAATTTAAAACTTTGTTTGATTGATTGATCGATTGATCTGTGTGCCATCAAGTCAGAGTCAACTATTAGTGACAATGTAATTTTTCTCCATGATAATCTGTCTCTAATCTAGTTCTTTAAGTCAACTCTAGGCTGACTTGGTTTGTTTTCTTGTCTGTCCAAGGTGTTCTGTGAAGTCTTTTTCAACACCAGAGTTCAAAAAAATCTATATTTTTCCCATCCTGCTTCTTCAAAGTCCAACTTTCACTTACATGGAATGTCAGAAAGAATACTATTGTTTGCACTATTATAATCTCTATAGGTATAGAAAGCATTTGAATATCTTTTCCAGGGCCTTCATGGCTGCTTTGCCAAGTGCTAATTAATCTGTGGCATATTCCTTGACTGATGGATCCTTTATGGTTATTATCAATCCAAAAAGACAAGCTATCCAGCACATCAGTATCTTCACTGTCAGTCCTGGTTCCTTTACCTGCTGTGATTAGCTTGGTCTTTTTTATATTTTATTTTAGTCCCATTTTTGCACTAGGCTCTTTGACTTTTATTACTAGAACTTGCAGCTCCTTTTCGTTTCAGCCATGGAGCACGTTACTGATGATGCTTTCTCTGGTTTTAAAACCACTCTTGGCTATTTCCAAACCAGCTATTTCCTTTAATATATATTCAGCGCATAGGTTGAATAAATAAAGTAGAGTATACAATTTTGTCTCATTCATTTTCCATCCTGAAGCCAATCTGTCTTCCTGTGTTCTCCCTGCACTGTGGCTTCCTGACCTCTGTATAGGATTGGTATGAGGATAGTGAAAGGCTTTGGGATTCCTACTCTAAGCACATTTTATGGGTTGACATGATCAACATAATAAAAGGCCTTCTAACAGAGCTCTTTTGTTCACACTCTTGCTCTTTCGTGGAGCACTTTTTTCAGAAGTTTCTCTTAAGCCCTCTTAAAAATGTCCTAGGGTGTGTTTGCTTAGTTTCAGACATATGTCTGCATCTACACTGGGGATTGGAATGGAGAGTTCTAGGCAAAATATGACTCACCTGACTGGAGCTTCATTTCTGCAAACATTAAACCAGGCAGTAGAACTGACTCTGGAATGGTTACACAGAGAATTCTGCTGCTAATCATTTCATACATTATATACTACTGCTCTAAATTTTTATGAAAACCTTACATTATGTAACAAAGATAATATATGAAATCTCTTGATTAAGTAATGCATATATATTAACTTGTTTGCTCAAAATGATTATGGGCTTTCTTGATCAAGGTGTGCTCATTATATATGTGTAATGTGTGTATATCCTATATTGAGAATTCATGAAATAGTGAACAAAATGTTTTTAGAGGAAAAAGAGGAAAGCTTACTATGCATTGGCAGGCTGGGAGACCTGCATAAAATACTAAAATAATTGTTCATTTCAAGCTTTTTGACCAAACTGGACAGTTCACAGAACTTTTTATCTGATTCAGTAGATTATTAATACGTCTACTGAAGATCCTTACTTAAGTTCTATAATTTTCCTCTCAGATATTCCATCCTTGGTTGTGTGCCTGGATACTTTAGCTTAGATTTCGAATTCTGCAAAAATATGTATATATTTTAAACAAAGGATTGTTTGTTTAAAATTGTTTACTATATGCAAATACGAATTTCCAAATAGCAAGATAGCTGGGTTTTTTTTTCCTTTCACAGAAATGGAAAAGAAACTTTCAGAAGAAAGAACTACCAAGCAAAAAGTAGAAAACTGTTTACTGGAGGTTGAAAAGCAGTGTTCTATGTTGGACTGTGATCTGAAGCAATCCCAGCAGAAAATAAATGAGCTCCTTAAGCAAAAAGATAAACTAAGTGAAGATGTAAGTATAAACTTTTAAAAAATATCTTTTAATATTCGCTGTACTACATCTACTTACAGCTTTTCCTATCTTTTGCTACATTTATGATAAATAATTCTCTGTATTTGTTCCACTTTTATAATTTATGTTTACTTAACTTTTTATCAAAACCAAGTGTGGACTAAAATGAATCCAAAGAGTTCTATAGGTAATTTTGAGCACGTACAGTTAGTCTTCAGCATACAACCACAATTGAGCCCAAAATTTCTGTTGCTAAGTGAGACAATTGTTAAGTGAGTTTTACCCCATTTTACAATCTTTTTTTTAACCACAGTTGCTAAGTGAATCACTGTAGTTGTTAAACAAATTAGTGATACGGTTGTTAAGGGAATCTGGCTTCCCCATTGACTTTGTTTGTCAGAACATTGCAAAAGGGGATCCCATGACCCTGGAATGCTGCAACTGTCATAAGTTTGAGTCAGTTTACCAAGCGCCTGAATTTTGATAACATGACACAACAGTTGTAAGTGCAAAAAACGGTCATAAGTCTGTGCTGTTGTAACTTTGACTGGTCACTAAATGAATGGTTGTAAGTTGAGGACCACCTGTACTATGTTTCTTTGTCAAATGCTAGTAGCATATCATGCTCCCTAGTGCCCCTTTTGATGATCACAGTACTTGAGCATGGGGTCAGAGGATGCAGCATCAGGAAAGGTTAAAAATCAGGGATATGTATTCTAGGATATAAGCTAAAGGTATATTGTATTCCTGCATGGAATATTTGGGGGGTCTTATTTCCCCGTTCTATAAGTAATTAGAAATGTGAAATTTTTAAATGAAAAACAAAAGCTATTTGTACTTCAGGAATGTTAATCAAAATGTTTGGCTACGCATTAAAAATTGCCACCTTCATTCCCTATAGTGCTAAAATTCTTCATTGAATATTAATGTGTTTGTTTCAAATATACATTTTCATTTACTTGTTTCAAAGTTCTCCAATTCAAGGAAGAGTGTTTAATACTGATTATACTAGTTTCAAACCATGCATGATAGGAGCCATGGTGGCGCAGTGGTTAGAATGCAGTACTGCAGGCTACTTCTGCTGCCTGCCGGCTGCCTGCAATGTGGCAGTTGAATCTCACCAGGCTCAAGGTTGACTCATCCTTCTATCCTTTCGAGGTTGGTAAAATGAGGACCCAGATTATTGGGGGCGATAGGCTGACTCTAAACTGCTTAGCGAGGGCTGTGAAATGGTATATAAGTCTAAGTGCCATTGCTATGATAAAAATGACTTAAACTTAATGTTGGGTATATGTCCCACTGGACATTGACGTGGACATTGAAGTTCTGAGTAAATATCTACAAAACTGGGCTGTAAGACTAGTTCTGAAAGGACACATATATAGGACTCTTGAGGTTTGACTAGAGAATGGGACTGGCTTTCAATTAGGAATGGACTATAAATTTTGTAATACAATCTTTCATTATCTGTAAAGCTTTTCTTTACAGTTTCTGTTTCGAGGCAATTTATCCTACTCTGCAGCTGGAACAAAAATCAATAAAGTAGGAAAAAAGTCCTTGACTGAAACTACTCTTTATATAGGACCATTAAGTTATAGTTCAAAGCAGCTGGTATGCGAAGAAAAGGATTGTTCAATTATTTAAAAAATTGACATCATGTAATTAAATTACACAAGCATGAAATACGTTGTTTTCCTTGCATGTGGTCGTAAAAGTCTGTCTTACAAAGTATCAATCTGTTTTGCAGGTGGAAAACCTGACACTAAAAATTGAACAAGAAACGCAAAAGCGCTGCCTCATCCAAAATGATTTCAAAATGCAAACCCAGCAGTTGAATGCACTGAAGATGTCAGAGAAGCAGCTAAAACAAGAGAATAACCATCTTATTGAAATTAAACTAAGCCTAGAAAAGCAAAACAATGAGCTACGCAAGTAAGTCCCTTCAGCAATAAATGTTCTATTCCATTACAGTGAATTGAGACTCAGAACTGAGCTGTGGAAGGCTAAATTGTGGTCTATCGAAACATAGGATTTCAATCCATTCTTCAGCAGGGTTGATACTATTATTACTGATCCTTAAATTCATATGCCATCCATCTCCCCTATCAGGCAAATGGGTGGCTTGCAGATCATAAAAACATACATATAAAAGCAATTAAAATGTTAAAACTATGTAAATTTAAAATGATTCAGAAAGTAGGCCCAAGAGATGGCCGGCACGGGGATGAGGTCTTCTTACCCCATTACCAAACCGGTAGTGGAACAGGTAGGATCCGACTGCTGGGCCCCCTCAGGGCCCAAAGCCAATTGGCAAAGCCAAGTTTTAACACCTTTTGGGAAGACCCAAAGGGTGAGAGCAGTTGTTACCTCTGAGGATAGGGTGTTTCACAGGGTCATAGGGATATTCTAAGGATATACTGGGGGAGTTCTTGACTTTTAGTTTAGTTCACATCCATAAGTAAAAAACAACTGAATGTCAATAATGCATTTTTTCCCCTGATACTTTGCTTTTGCTCCCTAGTTTGCATGTACCTGTATCATAAATGGCTATGGAAAAATTACACTTTAAAACCTCATCAACAGAGGCAGTTCTGTGGCTGCGCATCTGCTTAGGGAATAAAGAGGATCTGGGTTTGTTCCCCATCAGCCTTGTAGGCCAGATAAAGTCAGAGGTGGATCATTAGGACGGCAAAGGACATTTCTGGACAAAATCCATCCCTTGAGGTCATTTGTTTCCCCCCTGTAGGAACAGGTTGAAGGTGTGTCTCCTTGTCTGTCTGTGCTTGGGGAGCATCCATCCAAGTATAACAAAGCAGGAGAACGGTGTCCTTTTTTTTAACCCCACATCATAAAGAGCACTTTTCTTCATGCTGCAACAGACAGAAAATCACTTAACTTTGATCCTGTCCAGGAAAAACTAAAGAGTTACTGTGCTTGGTTGTCAGATAGGATTTGTTAGGGGTTTGCCTTTTTTTCTTTCAGCCCAATAAGGATTAGGTAGGAGGTGAAGTGGAGACTCAAGATCTATTCAGCCAAAAGAGCAAGAGAGTACATGAAAAGAACAAGGAAGAGTCTGGGGCCAAATATTAATAATCCTCGACTTATGATTGGCCACTTAGCAACCTGTTCAAACTTTGAAGTTATGACAGATCTCCCCAGTGCTAGTTATGATTTGGTTTCAACCATTCTCCCCCGCCCACCCCTTCAGTCACATGGTTGCATTTTTGGTGCTTGGCAAGAGGCCTATGTTAGACTGTTTACAGTTCCCATGATTGCAATTTATGATGTTCTTTGCCAGAAAAACACCCACTGGCTAAAATGGGTTTCCTCAACAGTCACAGTATTCGCTTAGCAACCATGGCATTTGCTTAATGACTGCCACTATAGAGGTCATAAAATTGGGTGAAGTCATGCCAGAATGATTTACAGTCACAATTCCAGACTCAGTTCTGGTTATAAAGCAAGGACTACCTTTAGTCAGTCCTGGGTAAAAAGGAAAACCTTCTTTCCAGAGCTTGCTTCTGTTTTCCCCCACCCATCCTTGTGGATAATGATGAAGCAACAACATAATAGGCCCTGTCTGCCCTTCCTGCTAAAGGAAACAACATTCAGTTAGTCCAAATAAATCAGAAAGTCCAGAATGTGCAAAAATATGCAAAAGATTAAAGCAGGGGTTTTTTTGTACTCACTTTGTGTCTTAAAGAAGGAATTTGTGCATTTGGGTCAGACAATCCTGCAACCACAGATCTTGACCGATATCGTATAGCAAAGAATCTGAAAGAACATGACTAATACTCTCTTCCCCTCCACAAGCATCCAACAGTCTCATTGTCTTCCTTTGAATTCTAATTCCTCATTTAATGAAGTGTGACCTGGCAAAACTTTGAAAAAGATTAACTTTTTTTTACGCGGCCTTGGCAATCAAGAAGGAGGGAACTAATAGTCCATTCCAGCAACATTTGTCATAGAAGTAGTATTATTTTAAAATTGCATTTATCTAATTCTCTGTCAGAGAGCGTCAAGATGCAGACGGACAGATGAAAGAAATTCAAGACCAACTTGAAGCGGAACAATATTTTTCGGTATGTAGAATATTAACACACTCAGTATTGTGTTTTTAAGTGTTAAGCCTTATGTATCTTTTGGGTGTATCACACAGTTGTAAATATTCTGAGATTTGTTGACTTATTAGTCACTGTGCATTACATTTTTCTAAAATTTTGGCCTAGTAGCATATTACATACTGTTTTTCATAAGTGTATAAAGCACCATTATCAGCATGGACGTATTGTGCTGTCCCTCAAGTTACTTCCAAGATTCACTTCCTATTCAGTTTGTTTCTTTGGCAATAATAAAACATTGCCTTTTTATCAGGCTGATAAGAATCTCTCCACATATTAGTTAGGTCCAACCCTGAATATCTTTTAAAAATCAAAGTTAGCTCAGTGGTACGACTTGTTATAATATATTTGATGACATGAAAGTTGTAACAATCCTATTATTACCATCTCAGCCCAAATCAGTACACTGAAGGATAAAGGTCTCTTCAGTTGAAGGGCTTTTCCCACTCCTAGTCTGGATCATTAATCATTATATCATACTCGTTGACACTTTCCTAATATATTTTATTTTAAATATATGTATAGTCATGCTGGCCACAGTTGATTACTGATCAACTGTCTATGGACAACATTGACTCCCTTGGCTAAGAAATGGAGATGATCACTGCCCCCTAGAGTTGGAAATGTGCATAAGGGAAACCTTTATAATAACAAATATTAATATATGGATTAATTACTTAATTTAAAATAGAGTATTTGATAGCTTTGACTATTTATAATGTTGACAACTGGTAATTAATCTGGTCATCGTGGGTAATATTGACAAAATCTTGTTTTACATATATTTTAGCCTGGCAAAAAAGTTATGAAGATTCCTTACCTTAAATTAAAATGGGCAGTTTTAGTAACACAACTCTTTTCCATTTATCTGGTTGCACCAAAACTATAACATGTATATTGCTGTTCTCTTGTAAAACATTTCAGACACTGTATAAAACACAAGTTCGGGAACTTAAAGAAGAATGTGAAGAAAAGGCCAAACTTTGTAAAGAAATACAGCAAAAGATACAAGAGTTACAAGAAGAGAGGTGAGACAATGATAGGTTGAATAATAATAGTCACCAGTAACAAAACTCCGAAGTAGCATCTTCGCCCATAACACTAATTTATTACGATACTAATTTTAATGTATACTCATTTATTACAGAGATTCATTGGCAGCGCAACTGGAGATCACATTAACAAAGGCTGACTCTGAACAGTTGGCTCGCTCTATTGCTGAGGAACAGTATTCTGATCTGGAAAAAGAGAAGATCATGAAAGAACTGGAGATCAAAGAAATGATGGCAAGGCACAAACAGGAGCTTGGTGAAAAAGATGCCACGATAGCATCAGTAAGTGACTCACTCGACACAGCAAAGTGATTCGAGAAGACTCGAATCGTAGGCTTGTCAGTCAATAAAACATGAAACATTCCTGTTTTTTAAAAAACAATTGCATGAGAAATTGCAACTGACAACAGTACTGAAAACCTCCAGGGAGCAAACTTATTTAGTGACTGTCCCATAAATATACCAAGTATAATGGTATGCTGCAGTCACTGATGCTTTGGCTCTGAATTTGGCTAGACGTATTATGGCATCAGAAATGTTCCATGCCATAAATTTAATTTCTTTGTCCAAGAGTTTACAGTAGGACCTTTTATAGATTTCAGTACTTGTGTTACATGATCATCAGAACGTATAATAATGTTCTGAGAGCACAGTATATTTTTAATTAGCTTAGAGGGATTCTAGTTTAAACTTTTTTTTTTTCTAGCATAGATGTGCTGATGGTTTCTGATGCAAGTGACTTTCCTTTCTAAATTCAAGCTGTGCTAAGTTTTTTTAGCCCTATTACTTAGTTTTAACTTTAAACTCTACTACTGTTTGGAACATTTCCCTTACAATCCTGTTTTTAAGCTTCTGTTTTTGTCTGTTTCCCACACTGCTGCCATGAACTCCTTTGCTGGGAGCTTCTGCCTCCTCCCCCATCCTCACTTGGAATCTCAACTCCTATTTAAATGCTTGGTTGGCTTATTTCTATTCTATGAGACTTACGCTTCTTATAATTTCTGTATCTTAGTTGGAAGAAGCAAATAGAACTTTGACTAGTGATGTGGCAAACCTTGCAAATGAAAAGGAAGAGCTGAATAACAAACTGAAGGAAATTCAAGAAAGTGAGTATTTAAACTTAAAAATAAAAGCAATTGATTTCATGTTAGCCTCACAAGTGCTACCTATTTTGTTATCTGTTGACAGGGCTTGCCCATCTGAATGAAGAAGAAAATGATCTTGGATTGCTAAGGACTCAGTTTGAAAAACAGCTGGCTTATGAGAGAACAATGAAAACACAGGTAACATATAAATGAGAAAGTGACCACAGTTATCACTGCGATATTGTACATAAGGAAGGAGAGAAGGGAATGTATTTAATTCTAATCACATAAAAAAGCTGCCCATTTATTCTTCTCTTACACTCAGGCTGTGAATAAGTTAGCAGAAGTTATGAATCGAAAAAATCCCATCCAACGAGGAGCTGACACAGATGTCCGAAGAAAAGAAAAGGAGAACAGGAAACTGCATATGGAGTTGAAAACCGAACGGGAAAAATTAACTCAGATGATGATTAAATATCAGAAAGAAATCAATGAAATGCAAGCTGTAAGTATCTTATATGATAGTAAAAAATTCTCACATAGTTGTTGAAAAATCTAAACTATGAAACTTTCAGGTATTAACCAATGTATCTGACTTAGTTATTCTTTAGCTTAATTTTTCTTGAAAAGTACTCTTGAAAATCATTAGAGAACGTCTCGCAATCTAATATCCTTCCAGTGGCAAGTGATACTGGTGGTTACAAGGCAGGGGTTGATGACAATTTAAAACACCTGAGGAGGCTTTATCTCACCTTTTTCTAGTCTCCCATTTTCACTATATCACCCAGCTATACTGAAATAGGGGCTATTTAATTGTCTTTATTTTCTTCAGTTCCCATGACAGTTCACTTTTAGTGGTTTGAGTTAAGAGATTGCTGTCAGAACCATCTCTGTAAGCAAGACTTTTATCATGCATTAAAAATTAATTCTGATTGTGCTTCATGAATCTCCTTTTACAGCAAATAGCAGAAGAGAGCCAGATACGAATCGAACTACAAATGGCTCTGGACAGCAAAGATAGCGACATAGAACAGCTTCGGTGTCAACTCCAAACAATACATATTGGCTTAGACAACAGCAGTATATGTGGCCCTGGTGAAACAGAAACGGATGATAGTTTCCCTGGTAAGATTTGTCCTTCTCTTTTTTGGAAGAAAAGGAGACATATTACAATTAATGACTCTTATTTGGGGAAGTTACAATTGGGAATGTCTTCATCCTTCTGTCGTTAAATTTTAACCCTTTTTCCTCAGGCTACCTTTGAATAAGTAGGTTATAGTTCTTATACAAATCCAGATCTGTTGCATTATTCGGTTTCAAAATAAGCAGTTGTGAGGTTTTTCTTTAAATCTATTTTTCATTAATCCTTTTTGCATTTCCCCCCCCCCTCCTCTTTCTGTTGGGTGCTCAGTTCGTATCACTCAGTCCCACACTTCAGAATCTCTGTCTCTTACCTATCAACGCTCTTCCACCTCTGTCAGTATTGCTACTAAACCTTCCAGCTCTTGTGTGTTTCTCAATTCTGATTCTGACTCTGAGGAAGAACCAGTGTCTTCTGCACAACCCCCTTCAGAACCTGATGATCCAGGTGACCTTCCAGAAAATGTGTAGTGACGAAACGTGGTTGCCTATTTTCCTTTACTAACACTGAGGGCAGTAGATACCAAGGAGGATTGTACTGCATGAGAAAGGAGCAGCAACTAATTTTAATCTTAGATTTTGTGGAAGTTGCATTCATGTAGGTGCATGAGATATGCATGTCTTCCCTTTATCTGCAGATCCTCTATGCATATGATTTACTGAAAAAAGTTAGGACTACAAGCTTTTTAATAATTTACTTTATATTGCTATTTAATTAATATAAAAAACAAAAAAAGAAAGCATTAAAACAATAGTGGCATTGATACATACATTGTCAAAAAAGGGGAAAAAACTGAAAAGTGCCGTGATGAAAAGTGAAAAATACAACAAAAACATAATATACATTATAACAGTAAACAATTATAATTCTATACTTGTCTAATACAAGTGTTATTCAAACACATACATATTTCTAATAATTTTTTAACCAACTATATTTTGTATAAATGAGGCCCTTATTGCAAGCTTTAATTATTCCACTGAAACGTTAGGATCTGACCATTTGGAAAGGGGAAATTTCAATTAGAAGTGCAGATTAAATTAGTCCATCTAATTGTAGCTTTGTATTTTTCAAGCTGTCACACTTCCTATAATATTTCACTCTCTCCAAAAGCCCAAAGTCTAAGTTGAAACTTTATTATGAAAATCTTTTCAATACAGTCATTTAAAAGCCAAATAATGAGTAAATTTAGACTTAGATTGTGGTGATGGAAATTTTTTCAGATTATGTACTGTGGCAAGGGTGTTCAGATTTTGAACAACAAAAAATCCCTCCCAAACTAGAATCATGTATCTCCCCCCAGAAATTGCTCTGTGTCTTTAAGAAACAGAAGGACATGGTAAGAGGATATTCTCCAGGCCAAGATTATTTTTGTGACAAAAATGTGAAAAATAAATAAATTGCATCTAAGTACATATTTATCCAAATCATCTTCAT